TGCAACGTTCCCATGACACATGTCTAGAACATTAATATCGTACATTCTGAGAACATGGCAACCATGTTCTGTGTATGTTTGATGTAACGTTGATGGAATATTCTCCTAACCTTCAGAAAACTGGACACAGGAAGGTTCTTGCAACGTTCTCATGAAATGTGTTTAGAACATTAATGTTGTATATTTTGAGAACATTGTAACCACGTTCTAGATAAGTTCAGCTTGACATTAAGCGAATGTTCTCCTAACTTTAACACTAAAACATGCTAAAAAAGTTATCAGAAGGTTTTTGCTAACATAGGTAGAATGTTCCACTAATGGAACACTGAACACTACGGGTAAGATTACAAAAATGTTCTCTCTCCCTACAATTGTTAGCTGGGTAGGGAGAATGGAGAGAATCCACTTAGTCCCTGTCAGTGTGTTCAAACACTACTTTCACTCCGAGAGCTGGGAGGAGAAAGCAGCAGGCTAGGGAAAACATCAAACTCCTAAACATGACAGAGCAGGAGAGGAAACCATTGATTTTTCCTCCATTTGGCCATGAATCTGCTGGAGAAGAGGTGGCTATGGGTGCTCAGACAGCTGATGATGTGATTTGTAACGCTGGACCACTGGTGAGCAGCAGAGAGAATTGCTCGACTCTCAACACATGGCAAAGTGGCTGCTTCACCATCCAGACACAAGATTAACTAACAGTGGGGGACCTATTGATAAGCTCCACAACAATCATACAGACTATTTCCTCTGTCACAGCAATCTAGGAGCCACTGTTCAATTAACAGTGACTAGAGCGATGGGCAGACTGGGAGGGGTTTACAAATAGTTAGTGCTTCCTGTTGTGACAAACATGTCAGAGATCAATTATAAGGACAGAAAAGTGTCCAAACATGTTTCTCACAAGTGAGTCAATTTGTTTCAGGTGAAAATGAATTCCCAGGGTCAACATCCCAGATCCTAAACATTAAAATGCATTTATTGAACACACTCAGTTACAGCCTTTGGGATAAATATATGTTAAAGGCATGGACATTGAGTATTGAAGACACACAGTGATAAAAATACACATGGGTATATGATTAATAATGTACTCATTTGTTTAACTTTCCTAATGTTAATTTAACATTAAATGAATCATGGTATGGAAAGTTGGGCATAAATACTGTATACTATATAAGTTTATCTAGCAACTACATAAATACTGTAATGTATATCTAACATCAACAGACAGACAGACAGACAGACAGACACACAGTGCAGGCTTTCTAAGGACAGAATAATAATCCTCCTCCTTAGATCATTTGCAAAGCAATTACGCAAATATAAACATAACAGCTTACAAGATAAGATGCTATTAGTGCTATTTGTCATATGGGATAGCTGCCTACAACAATGTTAAGAGTGATATAGTTTAAAATCCTTGTAATAAAACTACAAATATAATCAAGACAGTTTTGTCATTCTGTCTATGACGGTGTATCTAGCACTTAGCATAGAAATCATGAAGATGCCATAATAAATACATATCTATATCTATGGATGGACCTTTCGTATTTCATAGCATACAATATGAGCGCAATGTAATCAACACTATGTTTATGTTTAAGGTTTCATAGAGTATATCAACATTCTGACAATCCATGCAAAAAAATATCAATCTATTCAAGCAGCCAAGAAATACAGGACGGATAATGTACAATAATATTGATCCTTGATAGTGCAGTACCATCATCACTAACACAGGACATCCTGTGACCAGAGTGCTTGGAACCTATTGTTAAAAGAGTGAACGGACATACAGAAACAAAATATGCAGTTGTTTTCTAATCTTTAACAGATCACCTCTGAATACACTTCCTATTGACTGACTGGATCACTGATGTCATTGACAGAGGTTATTTCACCAGAGCCAACCATTGTGACCCACGACATCTACATTTGTCAGCATGGACTGAACCGAGGTAACTCCCTACCACAGATGTGTTAGCAATCAACACATGCTGTATCTGTGTTTCTGCTATCAACCATCTACAAATACAATACATAACAAAAAAAGTATTAACATTTTAAAAAGCGTCCCAAACTGCGAGTTCACAAATGACCTCTGACCTACAGGGATGGAAGGATGAGCCTTCCCTGCTTGTTCAGAGAGTAGGTTCATGCAGAGTTTATGACTACATTATCTCTCCTCATCCCCCACCCCATCCCATCCCCTGTTCAGTGGACACTGCATGGAAGCTTCCCACTGGAGGAGACGGACTGGGCATCACTCATTCACTGGCCTCCTAGGTGCCTTTGTCAGGTGATTGCTGCCGGAAAAAGGAAAACAGATCAATACATCTCCTGTGGGCCTGACAGGTAATCTTTACCCAGGATGAAATATGAGTGGTACCAGCCCGCTGGATTCCTTAACTGTAACAGGGCAATTGACTGGGTGCACGTAACCCTCTCTCTCCCCACTTCCTGTCTGCATGGCCATTGGAAATTCATTTTGGGAGGGGGACTGGCTGAGACATCACACCATGGTGAACACAAATTACTATGGAGGAAGGCAGGTAAGGCATTCCCCCTGCGATTGACGAAACTTGATCTGAACATTCCTTCCTATCTGTCAATTCCTTTGGCACCAAAACACAGACTGACAGATAAGGCATTAGGGAAAGGGACCTCTCCAGCAAAGATCAAGCACTTGTTAACAGAGCTGATCTAGGAAAAGCGCTGACTCACAATATCCTTTATCATTAGCATATTTTTGTATGACATGTACTATTCTTATCCAAACAGTGCTGTGGTTCCCTGAGAAGCTGAGTAGCCTCTATATGTTCAGGTACCCACTGATGTGGAGCTGGCGGCCTGAGGGTGGGGGTTATTTCTGTCTGTGTACAGACTTGGACAGATTCCTGTGGCAGGATGTCTTGTGAGAGACATCCATTTAGATGAGTATGCACACACAGCATTTATAAAATGTCAGCTAGCGCCGACATGATCACGCCTGGATGATTGCAGATCTATAACTCACACTAATTTAAAAAACTGTGACTATTCCACATAAGTGTTATCTGCACCTAATCTTTATTAAATATTGTTTCTAAAGCTTTGAAAAATAGACATGTATTTACTGTGCACAATGGCCAGTGAAAATGATCCCAGATTATAATCATACTGCATTAGTGACATAGTTATCTAGTCGAATATTGTTAATAAAGAGTGGGTCCTCTGTGATGAAACACCCCTCGGTTTCCTAAATTATACCACTGATAAATCAATGTATCACTTGATTCCTTTGCATAAAAATCTATTGTTCCACATAACTACATTGTCTCATCTATTGAGCTCGCACAATGTTGGTTAGAGTGAGTGTGACTGGGCTCATGTGACTGGGCTGTGTGATATAAAACCACTGAGGGAGCTGAGTGTCAATAGGGAAAGCTGTCCTCTCATTCTCTCACAGTTATTCATTATCACTGGTCTCGCTGGCATCCAGGAGTGAACCCTCTGCTCTCTAATGCAGGGACTCCTGAGCCCTGTACTGGATGGTGAGTGTATGCTATCATGACACTATCACACTGATCTCTCTGTGCCCCTGGCACTGCCCATTTATCTGCTGCGGGCTGGCGGACAGGGAATAATAATAATATAATAATAATAATAATATGCCATTTAGCAGACGCTTTTATCCAAAGCGACTTACAGTCATGCGTGCATACATTTTTGTGTATGGGTGGTCCCGGGGATCGAACCCACTACCTTGGCGTTACAAGCGCCGTGCTCTACCAGCTGAGCTACAGAGGACCACCCATACACATACCAGGTAATGCCAGGTTAGCCAGTCACAGCCCAGCCTCACAGCTAGCTAGAGACACCAGGGTTCCTCTCTGTGTGCCACTTAAAACACGGTGGAGATTACTTTTATTTACCCTCCTCTCCTCCTCCCCCATCCCTCTCCACCTGACTTTGAACACACTCTCTACTCTCAACATTAGCCCAGTCAGTCACAAAACAACCGCTTTCCACTAAAAACTGGGGTTTTGAAAACGGATTGTGCGCCTTGCCTTGAACTTGAATGTGTTATGAAATTTGAATAAGGAAGGTGAGCTGAAGAGAACAAAGAGGCCCCTCCGAGGAGCGCAGCCACAGCCCCTCTCTGTTGTGCTAATCAGAGGCATTGTAGCCAGTGTAGCTTTACAAATCCATGCTAATAGGAGACCTGTGCTTTATCCCGCTCTCTCTCGGTGGTCACCTCTCTAAAGCAGAACTTTCTGATGCTCTTCTATCGGTCAGCTGCTACATACGCTACAGAGCAGACCTGTTGGTCCCACTTCTCCCAGGCTTTCAGCAGAGCAGACCCCCAACCACTCAACCCTCCCTGACCATCATTTCAGTGTCCCTGCTGACAAATGCCAGGCAACTCAAAGAAGACATAATTGTTGGGCCTGAGTAATGGGCAGGTGGCCTGGAGACTGTGTAGTGTAGAGACAGGAGGAGGTGCCTGGCTGGTGCTGCAGTCTGGAGTAGCAAGACGAGGAGGCTCTTCAAGGAAATGGCTGGCTACGGAGTGATTAACAGGGCTTGATTGCATTAACATTATTCATCCTTTAAATGCTAGATGGAAAGACTTGATCCAGCAGCACAATGCTGGATTCAGAGAGGGCTCGATCGCTGATATCTCTATCTCATCTCTCTCTACTCTATCTCTCTCTCTCTATATATCTCTGATATAGCGCAGAGAGAGAGAAGAAGAGAAGAGAGTCGCTAGCTGAGCTCAGATAGAGAGCGACGATAGAGTAGATCTCGCTCGATATGCGTATAGCGTCGCGCTAGTCGCGAGAGGCTCCTCGCGCTACGCGAGCGAGAGATCGTCGCTCTATCTCTCTCTCTATGCCTCTATCTCTCGCTAGACTCGATCTCTATCGATGCCTATGCTATATAGTCTCTCTCTTCTCTCTAGGCTCTCTCTCTCTCTCTCTATCTCTCTCTCTCTCTCTCTCATCCCCCCTCCCCCCCTCAGTCCTCCTCCCTCTGAGGGCTAGGTCTAAATAAAGTCCCAGGCTTAATGAAGTCCTGCTTGTCAGACGTGGAGGGCCCAGGGCCTGCAGACTCCATGCTCAGAGAGGTGGAGGAGGTGGAGGTGTCCTTGCTGGATCCTTCTGCCTCTCCCAGGTCATCTTTATGGAAGGGGATACATGCTGCAGAGTAGAAGGACACACAAATAAATAAGACGTTAACTCAAGGATGGTTCTTCATTTTATCTACATTAATGCATCATCACTATACATCTAGAGTTATCATATGCCCTAATAGACCAAGTATTAATAATAATAATAATAATAATAATCATGGTCAAGTGACCTCAATCCAATTTGGCCTCATATGCCTAGTGGCCACGGTTGTTAGAAGGGCAATCTGATTCTCCTATGGCTAAAACTCTCCCTTTGAATATGATCTAATTCAGTGAGACATTGTGTGGCTGTTATTCTACCTACATCACTAGTATATAGTACCATTTTACTGAAAACCTTGTCTCAAAACATCTTCTTCTCACTATCTTCATCCTCCTCAGTTTTTTAGCCACTTTCTCAATACACTCAAAGAGTTGGAGGGGAAATATCTCAAACACTTCCCGGGCCAATTTACACTGAAGTAAAAATAACTCTAAAACAATATCTGCTCTCCTTTCCTACTTTCCGTTAACAAATCAATCTGTGTTGGTCTCTCCAGAAGTTAGTGGCAGTCATACAGACTTTTTGAGAGGCAGTGCAGGAGCAGAGGACACAGGAACTAGAAGTGACATTGTAGCTTTGGGCTGTCTCAAAGGATTAGGCATTACAGCATTCACTGGCATGTGCTTTTGCTCTTTCCCATTATATCTGCTTCTTTCCAGATGACTTCTTCCACAAACTGATCCGGCGGGCTAGGTAATTGATTAATATTCCTGGAGGGAATGATGACTAACTGTTGCTGTGGTTGAGCCCAAACACTTGGACATCTCGGGTTAAACATGGTTAAAGTTATGAATACAAATTCAGGGGTTTTTCTTACTTGATAATGCCTCGGGAACAGATGACAGTGTATCCACTGAAACACTGATAAAGCAGAATACAATAGTATTTAACTGTAACTTTTATCAGGAGTGATATTTCAACAAATATTTTTTTTCAGTGTTGTTTGTTTCATTAATAAAAACAAATCAGTGACTTTCCATTAATACATGTCTCAGTCCCCCTGAAATATACACTGTGAAATATGTTACCTAGATAACAACATCTAATATGACACATTCAACTGGGATACTGTGGTGGTCAATAAAGATGATATAAAGCAAAGATTTTGTGTCAATGTGAGAATTACATGCATTTGTTTTGTGCAATAATGGGTGGAGTGAATGGAACCATTTTAGCATCTTAAAAACCTCTCATGTGAGGCTGTTTAAAAACAAACATTACAGCACTTCCTGGAGCCATCCCCTCCCCTCCCCTCCCCTCCCTCCCCTGTTTATTAATCAGCTAATTACACATTGACAGTAATGGGCCTGCTGATTCTCACAGTTAAATGAACAGCACTGAATGGGCCTTTAATCATTAGCCTTTGTGCATTTCTCCCACACACTCCAGGTTCCATCCATTTCACTGGACCACAGGAGGACATTCAAATCAAATCACTCAGAAGAGGGTGGAACACTTAAACACTACTAGCACCTGACTGGTAGGACTGTTCAAACCAGCTACTCTGTAATACTGCAGTGTGGTTCTGTAATGCAGAACTGAACATAGAAGAACCAGTAAAGGACGGCAGCTCAATGAAGAAAACAATCATCATATGATATTTTAAAAAATATAATCAAAATCAAACCCCCCACCAAAACACCTTTAACCAAACTGTGTGGACTCATGCATATTCACGCCCACGCAGCAGCTAGCGACTCTACCCTGAAACTTTGGTGGAGCAGTGGTGGTGGCAGGGGCAGGTGGGTTTTTGAAGGGCACGACAGGGGAACTGAGGGGAGCAGAGTGAAGCGGGAGAGGGCGAAATAGTGCACAGGGCTGCATTTCTGTCAGCAGAAGTGATGGCTGAGTGGTGGCGTTATTTGTCTTGTGCTGCCATACGGCCGTCGCACCAACCTGGGCATTAATGAGAGGGGGCCGGACCGGCGGGCAGGAACACGCAGGGTCTCAGACGCAGGTGATCTGTCACACAACAGCCCTGCTCCGGCTCCACCAAGGAGACACACAGAGATGGAGAGGCAGGGGGGTGGGCGCCACACATGGAGGTAGGGAGGTTGGGGGCTGGACCCACCATGGGCATCCACTTGGGTCCCATGATAGAATGTAAAGTTGCTACGTTACATGCCAAGCAGCTGCCAAGGTTGAAGGGGGGGGATATACACAAATGTTGGTTGCCGGAAAATAATGTAATAAATGGTTTGAGTAAACCAATCATTTACACAGATGCAAAATGGATAGAAAACACTGCAATTGTTTGAACTTATTTGTCGAACTCTCTCACCTAAAATCAAACTTTGACGAAAATCAAAAAGTTAGTGCTTATTATCATCCCTCGTCCCTTATTGCAAATGAAGATGAAGGGCATTGTGCAAGAGAGTGGGGGAGGGGGGAAATTGGAATAATTAATTAGTCGGCATGTGAAACAAGCAGAGGGTATTAAAATCCATCAGGACCTTTATACTTACTGATTCATCCCTGCCAATGCCATACAATGAATTCTCTTTTATTCTAAATGTAGATTAACCAAATGAAACGTGCCCAACATAGGTCTATTTCTTGGAATAGTGTACATTGAAACCTTTTCTTAAATTGTCTTTTCAAACCTTTATGTAGTAAAACGTCAATAGATCTCCCCCTCAATGATCCACTTTGTTAAATATAGAATTGAGGTTGAGATCTGAACACAGTATGCAACTTAAAGGGACAGTGTCTACATAATGTGAAAATGACGCGTTTCTACGTTCTGTAGTAAAAAAGATTAGAAGAAAGGATACTAAGCAAATTTCTCCCGGTGATGTCATCGGTCACACATGAAAACCCCAAGTATTAACATTTTCCAGTCTGTTTTTTATTGCGGGATGTTGTCTTTTTCTATTGTTGAATTGATGGTAGTGAGAAGTGTACTGAATGGCCAATTTGAGCCTGAGAAGTGGAGTGGCCGTCCTATACAAACAGATACCTGGGTTGATAAGTTATTTCACAGCCAGCTTCAACACTCGAGCTGGTAAGTGCTAAACGTGTAATGATGGAGGACACAGCAACAGCTGGGTCCCGTCTCAGCAATCCCCTCAGGAATCCTGGGAGACACCTCCCGCTACAGGCCATTCTCACTACTTATTACAGAGTTTAAAATCAACCACAATACAAGAAAGTCACTTCCCAAACTATTCTACACTGGGGGAAAGAGACCGACAAACTACACGTGTATGTCTAAAGGAATTCTTTACCTTTCAGAAATTCCCTTGCAAATTCAATTCAACAAAGGAAAAAAACGTATTTCAATGACAAACTATGCAAGAAAATAAAGGGGTATGAAGAATAGGTCATTCCAACTATAATGAGAATGCCTATTACTATTTCTACAAATAAACTGCAAATGCATTTAGGAGCCGATGTGTATCTCCTAGCTTCTGTGATATGACCAAGTAGAGGCATGGAATACTGTAGCAGGGCGCCAAAGTAAAGATTTATACACAGCAGTAGGAGCCGAAGAAACTGCCATTGGATGACATTCCCTGCATGATAAATCACTCTGGTCAGGGGGCACCAGACTCCAGAACCAGGAAAAACACAACTCAGTACAGGGACATGGGGAGAGGAGGAAAACACTGTAAACTTAAGCATTTCACTTCAAAAGGGTTGTGAATATGTTAATAAATTTAGTTAGGCCTATTAAGAGTTTTAAAAAATCTCCTTCTTAATAATATTTATTATTTATTGAGAATGAGCAATCTGTTTTTCATTCCTCATCGAGTTGCCTGTTTGCACCTAGTCTACTTCTTTATATTGAGTGTGAAATGTATCCTTTGGTGATTTTATTTAGCTTTTATGTTTACAATATTTTCTTCAGTTGAACATAAACCCTGTGCTTCAGTTCCAGCAGCTGGATGTGATGGTAACTGAATATCTCTCCTGGGGGGGATGTTGAGGGATCCCCCATCCCTGCCTCTGCATGGTGAATAACATGGTGAATATGAGGGGTCTTTAAGGGCCAGAGGTGAATCTTTTTTTAGTTTTATGGGAAGTGGCTGAGCGCCGGAGAGGTGAAGGACGGAGTCGCTGGCCGTTCCATCACTCAGTGCAATAAATGGATGCAATCTGTATACCAGTAAAGCATTGGCTGGTTTTAAATTCCACCTCTTTTATCCAAATGAATAATGGACCCCGGTACAGTGCACTGTGCGGCAATATCAATATACATCAGAGGCCAGCGCCCCTCACTAAATCAGGGAACCACCGGCATTTGTTATTTAAATGACAAACAGCGGCTGCAGGAGCGGAGCAGAAAGAGGGGACTTTGGAGAAGAGGTGGACAAACCAATTCAAATTTAAATCCGGCAAAGACGCCAGGCCCGGAGCCATCAGTCTAATGAAAAAAGGCAGCTCTATGAGCCCAAACGGACGAGGGGGCTGCTGCAGGGTGCCACCTCCAATACGGTCTGCTTCCAATCACGCTTCCCTCAGACTCAGTCAGACCACTTCCACATGGGAGGACAGACAGGAGGCCCACAGAGCCCTGCTCTACCAATAAAACAACACACACTAGTCAAGACTGAACTCTTCCTCAGCTAATAAACAGTAAATATGTTGCTCTCTCACAAATACTGGAGACACTATTTGTAAGAAACTCAAGAATTCACATGTATCCTATATTCCTATATTAATGGATGTGATTCACATGTATCCTATATTGTTGGTTATAAAGTATAATCTAAAGTAAACGTTTTTTAAAGTTATTCTAAAAATTAATTTTAAATATAAATGTGACAAGCATTATACATTTTTGTTTGGGCAGCACCGGTAGCACAATGTTTTGGTCTGTTGTTTTAAAAAGGACATATACTCTGTTTAACCTGAAAGTGGTCTTGGGGATTAGTTACTGTATTGTCAGCAGGATGTGTAATAAAGTAAGCGTCCCAATGAGAGGTTAGGTGAATGTTAAAACAGGTCAAAGGTGCAGTAGTCATGGCGACAGGTACCTGATGTTGTTGTGACAGAGACAGCAGTGGTCTTCCTCCTCCTCTTGATGTCTCCTGTGCACAGCAGTCCCAGATGGACGTTAGTCTGCCTAGGTCAGAGACACAGAGACAGAGCTGTAACATTAATACGTCTCAGACAACAGAATTCAAACACCATCCTTTTCCCCTTTCTATGGATCTGTTTCCTGAAATGTGAGAACAAAATAAAAAAGAATACTTTGGTTGTTTCAATCATTATACATTTTTCTTTTCTGTTTAAGTGTAAAAGAGAAATATGAGTGTTTCTGCTATGCCTTTTCCATGAGCAGTTAGAAGTGTCTAGAACACTGCTGCAAGGGAATATCCAACCAAAAGGAGTTAAAAATAATATAATATAATATATAATATGCCATTTAGCAGATGCTTTTATCCAAAGCGACTTACAGTCATGTGTGCATGCATTTTTACGTATGGGTGGTCCCGGGGATCGAACCCACTACCCTGGCGTTACCACAAAAATACTACAAACCGTTTTTCTTTACCATTTCGTTTTGTTGAAACGTTAACAGAAATATCAGCGGAGGAAGAAGGAGGTGTAGGGGTTGTGCGTCTCTGTCGCTGCCGGGTTCAGGTAAACAAATTACCCCTGCTGTGGACCTCCTGTGTCATATGTCAGGAGCCCCCAAACTGGGAGGGCCCCCCACAGCCCCTCCTAGCCCTGATTACTGGGATGTAAAGTTAAGGTCAAGGTCCCCGCCATGGCTGGGGGGGAGGGACTGACGTTACCAAGAGCAGGCGATGTGATGAGTTGACTCAGTGTGTGTGTGTGTGTGTGTGTGTGTGTGTGTGTGTGTGTGTGTGTGCCTGCGTGCTTGCGCTCGTATAGCGCAAGTGCATGATATCGCCCAAGAAATGTTGGATCATCTCACATTTAGTTTCACAACACTATATCCACTTTGACAACAACAGTGTTTATTGGTTGAAAGCACCTGTAAAAATACATCTGTAAAAATAATACATCTCTGCAGTGCAAAACAACAAAGGAGGACCATAATACAGCAGACCCCTGTTAACCGTGGTGTCTCATCCTGAGAGGCCAGCTACATAAACCTCCCTGGCCAAACGTGTGCTAAGATAGGATAGGGTCCTGTCACGGCAGCCTTTTAACAGCCTGCGTGTTCCATCCATGACCTCAACACCCATTAATCACATGACGGCACTGCAGGAGAGGGTGCAGAGAGCTGTGTGTGGAACGCTTTGAGCCAAGTCTCTATGTTGTTTAATCAATAGGTATAAAAATAAATGGCTTGAATGTTATTCTGTCTTCCTGCTACCCCTCTCTAATAAAATCCCAGTAATGCATATTTCATTTACTTTTATACTTATTGATTACCTGTACTCCAGTTAGTAAATCACGAGCCTATCGATCCCTCAATCGTACCTCTGTCGGACAGCACATAACCAGCCATTTGCGCCCCTGATAAAGAGCTCAGACATTGAACTCCCCGCAGTAAATCTTTGCAAACTAACTTTTTAATTCCAAAATCGATCCGTGCTTAAACGTCGCATTATTTCATGAGGCACACCCGCGGTATTAAAAGTAATACCCTGATGCATTTGGTCTTTATGCATGGAAGTCCATCCTTCCATCTCTCCCCTCATTACACAGAGCCCTGATCGGGCAGACGCTCTGGGGCCCAGGCTGCAGCCTGGAGGAAGAGATCATGTGGAGGAAAGGCTGTCTGGCCCCTCCCCTCCAAGGTCCAGGCTCCAGGCTGAGGAGCAGGGAACACTCAGGGGCCACATGGAGCCCACAGAGACACTCAGTCACATGCTAATAAAACATTAGAATACCATCAGCTGGCTCATTAGGGAAGGCTAAACGGGACAACTCATTTAAAAAATGGAACCAAAAGGCCTCTGGTAACAGGCTTGTCATGCATCGTTTGTAGCTGTTTGAGTAGCTCGCTGCGGGATAACACAGCTACAACTTTACTCAAAAGGTGTAATAAAAATCTATTTTGGAAATTGGTTTGCAATAGAGTGGCCTTAAGATGTTTTTAAGAGAAGCAGTTTGACAGATAAAAGACACAATACATGTGAGTGATCTTCCTGCAAGATTTATATGGCAACATTACAAAATGAGTAGCTGGTGAAAAGGTGAAAAGTTGTTTACTTGCACATGGGAACATTTAACATGTCAATGTAATATAACGGTAAACTAGAAGAGTCCCACAGAAAGAAGGGAAAGTCATTGAATTAGGGATTGTAAATGTATCACCAACTAAGAATAGCAGAGCTGTATCGAGCAATGGAAAAATAACCCAATATCCAATAAAGAAGACAAACAAGAACTAAATTCTCGCAAAGACACATCGAAGACGTTCAAGAAAATGTCTGAGCGATACATTTTACACGTCATATGGGTCATACAACGAAAAAGACACTCCTAAATGCAGCGTGGTCCCTTAGATATGGAATAAAACAACAGTGACACAGGGTCAATTGTAATTCAGGTGCCCACAACCAAAAGCAGATATATCAATTAAAAATAATACCTCAAAAGATGAGAAGCAGCAGTAACAAAATGGCCATCTATTTTCATTAGGGTACACAGTGCTTCAGGTGTGAGCAGGATCTCAAGATGAATAGAGGTATTCAAATGAATCAGAAAGGATTAAGGTCTCCTGGGAAGCCGATCAATAGCCCCAAATCAATAATCAATAGGCCACTCACACCAATATACTTACTGCTGACACCGAGATCTCACAATTAAAATGAAAACTGGGAGAGGAGTGGCGTAAGACTATGATTTATCTTGTGCCGCAAATGTCATTTAGAAATAAAAAAGTCAATAGATATAACCGGAGTGTGGCCGGCTCAGGTGGGAGGCAGTTATGCATTTTAAAATGGCCACCATCCCAGAATCTTAGAGCCAAATCCCACTGTTCACTGTGCCCATTCACACAGCCATACTAGGACAAATAACATGGAACTCTATATAGCCTTTAGCACTTCATATCAAATCCCTGATTGTTGCCATCAACTCTCCCAAAACAGGAGATGACAGGTTTTATTAATACAGTATTATTTCAACCTCTGCAAGATATAAGATTAATGTTTATACTTTCCTTACTGACCAAAACACTTTTCTTTCAAGGGTATTTTGAAATTTAAAAAAGAAATAGATACATGAGAGCTCAGTCATAAGGACTGATCATTTGAATAAGTTCCTCAAAATAAATGAAAATATAGTGAAGCCAATTATGCTAAGTGTAAACTTTGCGATGAGCAAGGTGTTATTTAATACAGTTTCTGACTGTCGATGCTCTGTGTTAGAGAGAGACAGCACGATTATCCCCACCCTGTCAGTACCATGCTGATGCTCTATATAAGAATATTGATGATATGTATCTAAGTGAGTGCATTTGTGTATGTATCTAAGTGAGTGCATTTGTGTGTTTGCGTGCGTGCGTGCATTATCACATACACTAGTAAGCGTGTGTCATGTACAGTGCCTTCAGAAAGTATTCACACCCCTTTACTTCTTCCACATTTTGATGTTTTACAGACTGAATTTAAAATGGATTACATTTTGATTTTGTGTCACTGATCTACACACAATACCCCACAATGTCAAAGTGGAATGTTGTTTGTAGAACATTTTTCAAATTAATAAAAAATGAAAAGCTGAAATGTCTTCAGTCAATAAGTATTCAAACCCTTTGTTATGGCAAGCCTAAATAAGTTCAGGAGTAAAAATGTGCATAACAAATCACATAATTAGATGCATGGACTCATTCTGAGTTCAATAACAGTGGTTACCATGATTGTTGAATGACTACCCCATCTCTGTACCCCACACATACAATTATCTAAAGGTCCCTCAATTGAGAAGTGAATTTGAAGCACAGACTCAACCACAAAGACAATGCCTCATAAAGAAGGGCACCGATAAAAATAAATAAAAAAAGCAGACACTGAATATCCATTTGATCATGGTGAAGTTATTAATTAGGCTTTGGCTGGTGTATTAATGCACCCAGTCACTACAAAGATATAGCTGTCTTTCCTAAGGAAATTGCGCAGGTATTTCACCATGAGGCCAATAGTGATTTTAAAACAGTTAAAGAGTTTAATGGTTGTGATATGATATGAGAAAACGGAAGATGGATCAACAACATTGTAGTTACTCCATAATACAACAAAAAAATGGGCAAATAAATTAACTTTTTGTCCTGAATACAAAGCATTATGTTTGGGGCAAATCCAACACAATACATCACTGGGGAGATTTTTTTAGGATAAAATTAAACAGAATACAGCTAAGCACAGGCAAAATCCTAGAGGAAAACCTGGTTCAGTCTTCTTTCCAACAGACACTGGGCGACGAATTCACCTTTCAGCAGGACAATGACCTAAAACACAAGGGCAAATCTACACTGGAGTTGCTTGCCAAGATGACAGTGAATGTTCCTGAGTGGCCTATTTACCGTTTTGACTTAAATCGTCTTGAAAATCTATGACAAGACTTGAAAATGGCTTTCTAGCAATGATCAACAACCAACTTGACAGAGCTTGAAGAATTTTTAAAAGAATAATGGGCAAATATTGTACAACCCAAGTGGGCAAATCTCTTAGAGACTTACCCAAAAAGACTCACAACTGTCATCGCTGCCAAAGGTGATTCTAACATGTATTGTCTCAGAGAGGTGAACGCTTATTTAATCAAGATATTAGTGTTTTATTTTTCATTCATTTGTAATAAATGTTAGTATTTTTCTTCCACTTTGACAGAGTATTTTGTGTAGATCGTTGACCAAAAATTACAATTAAATACATTTTAATCCCACTTTGAAACACAACAAAATGTAAAAAAAAGTCAAGGGGTGTGAATACTTTCTGAAGGCACTGTATGGGTTGGGTGACTTGCTTAGGGGTGTGACTGTGGAGGGGGGTGACCTCCAGTGACTGTCCAGGGTAAGTGTGGACAGTCACTAGAGGATGGATTTGAGCAGCTTGGGGAGATGGATTCAGGCTTGTGCCGTCCGACGGGACACATCTGAAGCACCACTCGTCAATCCCCCTCTCTCCCTCATTCATTTGGGAGTATGATTTATACTTTTTGAAGTGAAGGGTCTTGAATCCCTCTATAAAGGAATTAAGAGGCTTCCCCTGAGACGGCATTCAAATGAGAGCATGGCAGGAATATGAGGGCTTTTTAATAGATAGAAATTAGTATTCACAATGCCTCAAACTGGAATCTGAAGGAACCTTTCAGGTGGAGAAGAAAGGGCCAGTTAAGAAAATAAATCTCTAAGAAGTTTAGCCTTTTCATAGCAGTCGTGTTTTTGCCCCTCATCAAGAAATGGTGGAGGGCTTTCTGAACTAGCCCAGGAGAGAGAGAGAGAGAGAGAGAGAGAGAGAGAGAGAGAGAGAGAGAGAGAGAGAGAGTGAGAGAGAGTGAGCTTGAAACATTAAAAATGCTCTGTAAATAGGCACTGTGGAACTGGAAACAATGCAAGGAAGAGTCTCAGACTGAGGGATGTTCAGGTCCTCAACAATCCCCATGCAGATCCAACAGTACAGGGGCTGACTTGGAGCTAGAGGCTTTGAGAAAAACTCTTCAGATAAACTTCTGCATTTATTTATATTTTTTTGCATTTTCAGAAACACTGGAAACCAAAGATTCTACATTAATATATTCTATGTTTGAGAAAGACAACCTTGAAAAATACATCAGTTATTATTCAGCAGAGTCTTATATCCCAGTGAAGAGTTGTCTGTTGTATAGACCAGGGGTCAAGCTTGCCCCATATACTGTACCTGACTGTGCTAGCTAGTCTCACAGGAGGCTGTGATGGGGACGTGGCTAATATCACACAAGTCAGAGAAGTGTTTCTACAGCCTTAACCATGTCCTCATCTCTGTCCTCTAAAGACCATGAAAGCCCACGCCAATAGCACCAAAGCACAACTTTAACATGTTAGCCCAGCTGCTTGATGTCCCTACATGAACACCCGAGTCTAGAGGTCACAATGTCACACTTTGAGCTCCTGTCTCTGAGGAGTTGGTCAATGTTCTCACCCACGCACATATCGAACACGTCTCTGAGGTACAAACTTTGATGTAGCATGCATTGGTTAAAACACAACCTGTGTTTAGCGACTGGTTCATTTAAGAGAGTTAACGATGTCTGTCAATATATTGAGCTTCAGAAGGGAATGGGCTCAATGTCTCCAAAATGCCCAGGAGAGGCTGAGTTTAACCATGCCAACAATAATGAGTGCTGTGTGCAGCACCTACCTGGTTTTGCAGATGGAAGAGGAGCATCTCCGATGGGAGCTGTCTGGCACCATGTCAATGGGATAAACAGGTAACGGACACAGAGGGTTGAACTGGAACACATTTAGAAGGTGTTAGGAGTTCACCCAGACCCATCAAAAATAAGGCTAGAGAGCTGAAATGTCTTATTCAATAATTCAACACAAATATACCTGGCTCCGGTCTCTTTTTCCAATGGAAGGCAGCCATTGATAGGGGTCCTGAGAGAAATGCTTCATTCTCTCCATAGACACTGACATACTGTTGTCCTGCAACACATAACATGTGGTATTATAGAACATATCACATAACTTGTTAAATACATGCATTAAAAGCCTGGTATACATTAATGTGGTCAAGGAATGTGTTGCTAGTGTGCCACTCTGCCCTCACCTTGCTGGGCAGCCTCCTCCGGCCTTTCCTGATGCAGCGGGCAGCCACGCCAGGCAACCGGTTCAGACGAGCATGGTACCCTGCAACACCAAACCAAACCGTTACCCAGTTACCCAATCAGAACTGGAGAACATGGAGAGAGTGATATTTCTGTTGTTTCTGTTTACAATGTAAACGTATAGTATTTTGATTAGCTCATCACCTCTCTGAGTGGGCCGTGCAGGCTGTAGGAAGGTGGGTGGAGCTGAGTCTGGTACTTCCAGGACAGGAGGAGTATCTGGGTCCCAGCTGGGCAGCAGGCTGGGAATGCCCATCCCCCCTGCTCCACACTCCCCCTCAAAGAACCAGTCACTCTGCTCATCATCACCTACAGCACAGACAGGAAATTCAACACTGTTAGTCACAATGTATACATTGGGTAATTCCATAACCATTCAATAGGATTCTGCATGACATTTAAACAATGATATAAAAAAGTATTTTCACGGATGGGCTGCACCAATTTATAATTTAGTGCTGTACAATTAACCATTGAATGAAGTACTGACTGCATGAGGGCATCTTTCCTACTTGGCCTGCATCAATCCTCTCTCTATTTGTTGACAGCCTCTCCCCCACCACTACACAGCAGACCACCCTGATCCCCAGACACTGCTCTCTCCACAGACCTGTCAGTCAGCGGGGCGCATGCAGGGGCCATGCCTCTCACAGTCAAGGTGTAGTGACAACTGTTAAATCAGGGGCTGCCTCGCCCCACCACGGCTAATGAGATTAGCAGAGGCTTCAGCGCTCATTAACACGACATGACAACGACTTATTAGAGCCGCCTGGGTGCCCGGCAACCAGCCCATTGTATCAGAACCTCTTTCTGTCTAGTCCCAGCATTCTGTTACACTTACAAAGAGCACAGGCATAGCTCCATCCTTGGAACATTCTGGTAATGCTAGAATTAAAAGGCTTATTACATGCTTTTTGTTTTCATTTCGCACCATTACGACCTTTGCCATCTTATTTAATTTGCACATACATATTATGTAAATGACACATAAACCACGTTTTCATCCACAGTTTGTATGCGAGTAGTCATATCGTATGAAATAAAATCACGACAGCTGTTATGGAAACAGGAAGTTTTGGTGTAATTTTATAAATGCTGACAGATAATTTGTTAATTCGACATGGTGGGATCTTTTTGTGTCTGTAAAATTAATTATGCGGGAAATGGCGGTGGAAACGCATTTATGCACAAATATGGATATACACTGAACAAAAATATAAACGCAACATGCAACAATTTCAAAGATTTTACTGAGTTATATAAGGAAATCAGTCAATTGAAATAAATTCATTAGGCTCTAATCTATGGATTTCACGACTGGGAATACAGATATGCATCTGTTGGTCACATATATTAAATAGTACCCGCAAAACACCAGCCTCAAAGTCAACAGTGAAGAGGCGACTCCGGGATGCTGACCTTCTAAGCAGAGTTGCAAAGAAAAAGCCATATCTCAGACTGCCCATCTTAATCTTTTCTTTTTATTGACCAGTCTGAGATATGGCTTTTTCTTTGCAACTCTGCCTAGAAGGTCAGCATCCCGGAGTCGCCTCTTCACTGTTGACTTTGAGGCTGGTGTTTTGCGGGTACTATTTAATGAAGCTGCCAGTTGAGGACCTGTGAGGCGCCTGTTTCACAAACTAGACACTAATGTATTTGTCCTCTTGCTCAGTTGTGCACCGGGGCCTCCCACTCCTCTTTCTATTCTGGTTAGAGACAGTTTGCGCTGTTCTGTGAAGGGAGTAGTACACAGCATTGTATGAGATCTTCAATTTATTGGCAATTTCTTGCATGGAATAGCCTTCATTTCTCAGAACAAGAATAGACTGACGAGTTTCAGAAGAAAGTTATTTGTTTCTGGCCATTTTGAGCCTGTAATCGAACGCACAATTGCTGATGCTCCAGATACTCAACTAGTCTCAGGAAGGCCAGTTTTATTGCTTCTTTAATCAGCACAACAGTTTTCAGCTGTGCTAACATAATTGCAAAAGGGTTTTCTAATTATCAATTAGCCTTTTAAAATGATAAACTTGGCTTAGCAAACACAACGTGCCATTGGAACACAGAATTTATGGTTGCTGATAATGGGCCTCTGTATGCCTATGTAGATATTCCATTAAAAATCAGCCGTTTCCAGCTACAATAGCCATTTACAACATTAGCAGTCTACACTGTATTTCTGATCAATTTGATGTTATTTTAATGGACACATTTTTTTATTTCGAAAACTAAGTGACCCCAAACTTTTTAACGGTAGTGTACCTTAAAAAGAAGTAGGGGCGTGGATCAGAAAATCAGTCAGTATCTGGTGTGACCACCATTTGCCTTATGCAGCGCAACACTTCACCTTCTCATAGAGTTGATCAGGCTGTTGATTGTGGCCTGTGGAATGTTGTCCCACTCCTCTTCAATGGCTGTGTGAAGTTGCTGGATATTGGCGGGACCTGGAACACACTGTCGAACACGTCGATCCAGAGTACCCCAAAAATGGTAAGTATGCAGGCCATGGAAGAACTGGGACATTTTCAGCTTCCAGGAATTGTGTACAGATCCTTGTGACATGGGGCCGTGCATTATCATGCTGAAACGTGAGGTGATGGCGGCGGATGAATGGCACGACAATGGGCCTCAGGATCTCGTCACGGTATCTCTGTGCATCCAAATTGACATCGATAAAACGCAATTGTGTTCGTTGGCCGTAGCTTATGCCTGCCCATACCATAACCCCACCACCACTACGGGGCACTCTGTTCACAATGTTGACATCAGCAAATTGCTCACCCACACAACACATCTGCCCGGTACAGTTGGAACCGGGATTCATCCGTGAAGAACACACTTCTCCAGTGTGCCAGTGGCCATCGAAGGTGAGTATTTTCCCACTGGTCGGTTACAACGCCAAAATGCAGTCAGGTCAAGACCCTGGTGAGGACGACGAGCACGCAGATGAGCTTCCCTGGGACGGTTTCTGAATGTTTATGCAGATATTCTTCAGTTTCATCAGCTGTCCAGGTGGCTGGTCTCAGACAAAGTAGATTTTGTGTGACCTATGTTATTACAAACTAATTTTTTTCCCAAAATCAGTCAATTTATTGTAAACACACCACTGGTGTGAAAATGCACACATTTTCTTTATGCAAATTCTAGAATATCTGCATGAAAATCTGTCGCCAACTGGATGGAAAACTAGCTAGTGAGTAATAAATATTATGCTCAACATGAATACCTTGTCTTCCCTCATCGTTAGTGAAGAGGCCAGGATCACTGCTGCATATACTGCTAGTTTCACTGCAAACAGAGGAAGAATAATATAATTGTCAGTATGCATTTCATGTTGAACATAGAAAGCAGTATTTTTGTAGTGATAATACTGATGTGTAACAAGAAAAATAAAGATATCTGTTGTGATGGATCTTTTTTTTTTAAATTGGTGGGTTTTAGGGTCAAAGAAGGTTGTGCATTTGAAAACGGAACAATGTGAAACAAAAACTTGCAAGCCTGCTCCAAAAATGTTAACATTCAATAACAAAATAATGAATCAGTCCCGAGCTAGAGGTCAACATAAATATAAAATGACACAAAAACAGGGGCGCTCTCCCCACTGGTTGCCATCCCCAACACAAAGGCATGGGGAAGGACTCTGGTCGAAGCCACTGAGTGACATGCACAATCTAATTGAATATCCTCCGCTGTCAGCTCCAATCTAATCTGTGCTGCATTCTGGAGTATGACAGGAGCGCGGAAGATTCCCCGGCCTTCTCCTCAGTCTGTGAGCAGGACCCGCGGACGTGCCTCCACACAACAACTGGCCAGCATCTGCTGTGAAGGCTGGTCCAGCCCAGGCTGCTCCCTGGCTGGCCCTCTCCATGCCCTCAGGCGTCCCCGTGTCACCCCTCCACCAGCCTCTGCCCCGGCCCCTACCCCACCCTGGGTCTCTCGGCCTCTGTCACACCTCTGCCACCTAGGGCTGGGAGCTAAATAGAGCCGCCAAGGTCACACAGGAGTCAGGACTATGGGCTTCATGGACTATTTGTTTTACACAAAATAATATTAAACAAAATATTGCCTTAATGAAGTGGACATTAAAGGAGTACATTTTAGAACTGTGTTCTGTTTGCCAAAGGGTGAATTTTAAGAATGAATATGTCTGTACTGTGCTAAAATTACATAATTTGTTTTTTGTTGTGTATCACTTTTTTTTAGATTGTTACATTCAAACTGCCATGGGATGGTCACAGATTTTGTCTTAAATTCTCTCACAGCATGCCAAGTAGCAACTGTAACACAAACGTCCAAGCTCAGTCCTTTGAGGCCATTTGTCCATTGGGTCAGAGGAAGTCGGAGGGTCTTGTTTGCGTTGCATTTTGCTTTGTGGTGATCAGCGTTGACCTTGGTGACGAGGGAGAGAGATTGGTGGGGTCAGATACACGCTGATATGGTTCTTTGCCATATTGCACAGGAGTGGCGGTGACAGCGGGCTCAGACTAGGCTGCTGCCAGATGGTCCAGCACCATCTCCCCTCACACACCCAAGAAGCAGATGTGAGAGGGACCAGGCCTCTCCAGGGAATGTGGAAGACGTCTGGCATAGCCAAGAACTCCTGGATCATCCCTCCCTCCCCACCCTCCTCCCCAGACACTGGTTCCCCAGGCCTCTACTCAGCTGTCCTCCACCTCTGGACACACGGCTGAGCATCTGGAGCAGTGCTTTCTGTTCAACAGCAGTAGAGGGCATATCTCCTCGCCATGCATCCTCCTGGCTAGAGGCAGCAGCCCCTATAATAAAGCCTAACAGCCCTTTCAGGACGATTGCTACTCATCCTATAGCCCTTTCAGTTATCTCTCTGCTTCGGTACCCTTTTTCATTATCTCTCTCCTCTGTCCTTCTAATATCCTTTCAGTTATCGTCTCTCTCTCTGTCTCTATAACCTTTCATTCCCTCTCTCTCTGTCTCTATAGCCCTTTCAGTTGTCTCTCTCTCTGTCTCTATAGCCCTTTCAGTTGTCTCTCTCGTCTCTAAGACCCTCTCTGAACAAATGCAAATCCTGATAGCTGGAGAACTGTCAGAGACCTTACGATCTGCACTGCCATCTGAATTAGCCGCCCAAACTACCTCATCCCTATATTGTTATTTATTTTGCTCATTTGTACCCCAGTATCTCTATTTGCACATCATCTCTTGCACATCTATCATTCCAGTGTTAATACTAATTGTAATTATTTTGCACTATAGCCTATGTATTGCCTTACCTCCATAACTTGCTACATTTGCACACACTGCATATATATTTTTCTGTTGTGTATTTTTGACTTTATGTTTTGTTTTACCCCATATGTAACTCTTGTTGTTGTTTTGGTTTTTATCGCACTGCTTGCTTTATCTTGGCAGGTCGCAGGCTTTGTTAATAGTGAGAACTTTAACAACTGGCTTACCGGTTAAATAGTTACAGGTTGAATTACAAAAAAAATAAGTCTCTTCTCATGTTCTACATCTTTCACTTTTCTCTGCTGGATACGGTGAGCGAGGTGGCCAATTGTCTCTCAACTAGAGTAGAGACGCCAGCCTAGAGTAGAGTCCTGAGAATCAGCATGCTGAGAGAGGAAAGCGCGGATAGCAAGCGTAGCGAGAGAGATCTTACTCTCTCTATCTACTCGCTCTCTCTCATATCTCTCTCTCGCTCTCTCTCTCTCTCTCTCTCTCTCTCTCTCTCTTCTCTCTCTCTCTCCTCTCTCTCTCTCTCATATACTGTAGATATACTGATCTTAAGGATAATATTTACACAGGTTACACAGGTATAATAGTTCCCAATACTCTTTCTCTATAATAGAGGAACGTTTAGAAATATGCCCCCTTATCAAAAATAAGTTATTGCTCACAGATGGCAGCGGTACAACAGTTTCTTCCATTTCTGAGTTGAAAAATGTGTTTGCTTCCTATAGGGGGATTTGGTGCAAAGTTTGAAAAAGATCACAGGTATAAACAATTAATTAGAGCCACACATTAACTATTTATCCGTATTAAAAGGTGTAATGTGATGTCGCTGGGAGCAGCCCTGAGCCAATGTGAAACCGTTTCCATTAAGTACTGCCTAATTAATGCCATGAATAATTAAGGCCGCCATTTTTCTTGGGACCAGTAGAAACACCTCTCTCTTTCATCTCCTCCCATGACCTTTGTCAGGAAAAGTTGACAAACCTTTTAGTCAAACTTAGCCTGTTTCAAATGCACTTGCGAGAACAAAGATAATTTCTGTGTTAGTATCAATTACAGGTAAAGCTCATCAAAACACTTGCCTGACGACTCAAACTGATTTTTTTTGCTGCTCAGTCTGAGACTGCCATCATTGAAGTCATTTGTGGTGACGTCAAAATAAGGGGTGTTCTACAAAACAAAGACATCAGCGATTGGATCATATTAAAGTATCAAAGCCAATTTCTAAATGCCGCTTTACCCACGTGTGTTCTGGCTCTGGCCTAACCCATCGGTTTATGGGACTAATCAGAATGGTTAGAATGTGTTTTCGTTGTAGAAATCGTTGGAGAGGTACTCTGATCCAGACTCATTGCGGAGAAGAAACTAACGTCTGTGGGTGTGGCGTAGCGTTTGGCCAGAGCAAGGAGTTTGAGTTGCCAAGCAATCAAAACACACGCCTTCCATTTCTTCTTCCCAGAGAAATATCACCACATACATTGCATCAGGCACCATATCACTAAATAAGCCTTCACACTGACGTTCCCTTCAACCATGGTGGCACTCAATTAAGACAAGGACAGTTACATGTTCTAAGACACGACAACTGCATTCCAGTGTGGAATAAAAGCTCCCTTCTGACAAACCTCTGTCATTTCTGGTTTAACTAATCAGCTCCCCACACGGGCCCATTGTCTGCAGACAAGCCGGTGAGGTGAAGCAAAAACACAGTATCCAGATTAGGACTAATCATTAGGATATAATCCCTGGCTCCTGGGAGAGGCAGACCAGTTTGCTCAGAGATGACGGGTCGGCCGCAATTTATTGAGCATGGGCTCATTCAGCAGAGGAATAAAGAGGAGACAGAGACAGAGGGGGGCAAAGCGCTGATAACAATGACTCTGTTGGCTCTTCAAACAAGCCGCCCCAGCCCAACCTCTTCCATGGGCGTCTTGAATATAAGGTTATCCCACCCTCCCTGAGCTCCTGTAATTGGATTAGTCTCAGAGATTTATGAAAATGAACTTCAGCAAATGGAATACAGCTCTAAACCAAAACTCCTCGTAGAGTTTTCAAAAATTCCAAATTAGAATGTGACGGAGTGGAGCGTGACAAATGCACGGATAATGGCTTGTGTTTTCCGGTGGAAAGGTTGTCCATGTTGAACACACCACCAACAGTACCACCACCACAGCTGTAGACAGAGGCCGTGTCCCTGTTTGCCTCCACCCACAGGTGAGGCCTGCTCTCTGGGCCAGACTGGGCGCCAGGTGGCCATCCTGCCAGCAGGCCAACGCTGCTCTAATCAAGGATGTGGAGCCCAGCTGGAGTTGCCAACATCTGCTTCCATGCACTTGGGTGGCTAAAGGCAGGCTCTGGTCTGTGCACATACTGCATGAGTTGTGACCTTGAGGCAAGGGACGTTTAAGAGATCAAACACAGAATATGAAGAGGTTAATGGAACGAACAGAGACCACGAACAGAGAGAGACCATTCAACCTAAAAGGGTTAAAATACATTTAAAGAAGTAACTGAAGTCTAAAACATCAGATGGATGGCTCATAGCTTTTCCTGGTGTCTAAATATGGCTGTTGTACCACTGTCAACCCCTCATCACTTGCTACCATTTTCCCATTTCCTTGGACTCCAGCAGGACCTAACCCATAGATTGTTTAGTCCTCAGTACAGAGCGGCAGTCTACTGAGCAGCAATCAGCAACCTGCTGTTGTGTAAGTGAGAAATGATTGACAGCGTGCCACAGTGTTCCCATTTATTTCTTCTCCCGAGCTGTTTTCTGTCAGAACGGCTATTGATTTTTCCATAAAGTAAGAAAACAAGTACCGTTGAGGGGCCAGGGAGGTCAGCACAAATTAAACCAGAAGATGTAAAGCCCTCTGTCTCCCTATTATTGGTTACCACAGACTTCTTCTCCATGTTTTTTATATGGGCCAACAGATAATGAGATCATCAAGGGGAATACCCAGCGGAGGCAGGTGTCTAGCAGTGGGAGGGACATGGGGGAGAAGAGACCAACCAGGTTTACACACAGGCAGCACTAAGCACTTCTATGGGACCTCTATGGGACTAGCCTATTCCTCCATGGTCCAATTTCTATTTTCTTACTAGTGTAGTATACGGACACTGATGATTTACACTCGGTTGAGGGTAGCAGAGGTTAGGTTTGGTTATTCACTGTGTTTTTATGTCAAACTGTTGACCTCTGGCTCAGGCCTAAAGTGGCCAGGCAGGACTGTATAGGCCTATTTAGTAAACCCATTATTATAATTAATATGACAGCATGGTAATTGATTTGTTCCAATGTCACTTATAGGCAGTCACAGTAGTATATCGAATTTAGAATTTTTTTTATGCACACATTGGAATGCACTCAGTTGAACTCAGGACAGACATAGCTTCAATTATCAGGAATAAGATAGACATTTATTTTGAAACCAATCAATACCTCACCAAGCAACTTATTTATTTGTGACAATTTCTCCCAGCAAAGTAATGAGCTGAGTGATGCCTTGCGGCCACAGTATCAGAGATCCCTCCCCACTGATCACCTCAGAGAGAGAGCAGATGAGCAGGAGAAGGGAATATCATTAATTTTTTATGTCAATTCAATACTTGAAGGTGCAGAGGCATCAATGTGATGCACTTTTTGTTTTAGATGGGGCCACATTGAATATTGACAACTAGATGAAGACAGGCAGTATAGATCCTTTTAAATGTCGCTGTGTTTAATTGCCTCTGTCAGATAGTAGTTATGCCCATGACTTTTATATTACGGGCCAAACTGCCTCAGTAACTTCACCACCCAAAGGGTAAATGGAGCATGTGATATTTAGGAGTGATTTGCAGTTTGACTTGGTCTGTGTCAACAAAGGCCAGCAATAACATCATTTACAATGGATAGGCTATATTGTAAATATTGCAAAGGTTGCAAATATTATGTAATATTTAGGAAATGCCAAATGAAACCTCTTCACGTAAAAGGTAAGACTATTTCATGCCATAATCATTATCCTAAAATATTATATCCTTTAAGATGTTATATTATTGTCCTGCCCAAATAGATATTTTCTCACACAAAAAAATTAATAATGTATGTTTAGAACATTACCCTTCAGACATGTTCTCATCAGAAGCCTCTCGCTGCTCCTTGGCCTCCAGGACCAATGGGATCTTATCCTTCCAGCACTCCTCTGCCCTGAGGCCCACTCCATCAGCCTCCCTGTCCACACCCACTCCCACCCAGCCTCCAGCCCCCTTTTTCAGCCTGGACAGACGCTGCTTTTTGGACGATCTGTGGTTTCCGCCCCGCTCGCCATCCACCCCTGACACCGTCAACTTCTGCTGCAGGCTGACCGTCACATCGGAGGTCATGCGTTTGACCTTCCGCCTCCTCCTGAGTGGCCGTCCCGGGGTGTTCTCTGTGAAGGAGTCCGACTCAGGCCAGGAGTGCTGCTTGGTCTTGATGGCGTAGCTGTTGCTGGAGCAGGAGGGCCAGCGCTTGGCCATTACCATGTCGTCTGAGTCGCTGTAGTTGGCGGCGGAGGGGGCCGGGGCAGCATTCTCCCGGCAGTCCTTGGCTGCTTCGTCCAGGCTGGACTCGGAGGCCTCACTGAGGCAACGTCCGTGCTCCAAGGGGTGGAGGGAGGAGTCACAGCGGCGTTTACGTCCCCGGCGCCGTCGGATCTGCCTGCGCTGCTGCAGAGGGCTCAGAACCATTTCCTCCCAGAGTTCCTCTAGCTTGGTCTGCTCTGAGGTCTGCTCCAGGGCTGACACCAGGTCATGCACCAGCTCATCCATCATGCTGCTGGGGGAGTGGGGAGAGGAATACAGGTAAGCTGGAGGAGTACAGCTCCAGTATACTGTAGATGTGATTGGCACATGAATAGAATGAGTATGGTGTAAGTTGACACTAGCTTATGGTGCGTCTAGGATAAGAGGACAGTGTATGCTGCTGCTGGTGTCAACTACAACACTCAGCATCCTCTGAGAAGCTACTGTTAAAGCATAATGCAGATGACTATGAAGATGTTTTGTTCAACTAATTGAACAATGATTTGGACACATTTTCAATTAACAACAATTTTGTTAGTCTTAATAATGCCTTCATAAACCCTTCATAGGGCCAAGGTAGATGCTTTGCAACTTATTTATAGCATACTGTATAAAACAAACTTGCATGTCTGGCATCTGGCACTTTGCCACCAGTATCACAATGACATTTGCTTAGGTTTTCTAAAAAAGCTTACTGATCGTTTAAAGTGGAATCTATGATTTTTTTCAGTTTAATTTTTTTTTATAACTATCATTTTTTCTTCTAATGCATTGTTCGTTTTCTGTCAGGCAAACCTACAGCGTTCCTCGATCCACTACCCAGGCATAGTAACATCAGTGACTACAGAATGAATCTAGTCAAAACTCATGCCTTATTACAGCACAGCTACTACTGAAACACTTTTGAATAGAACATGAAGACAGAGTGAAAGAGAGAATTTGACCATTAGGCTATAATCAGGACTGAATGTGACCAATAGGACAGGGGAAGAAAACTATTATGTAATATATATTGTGTGTAGCCTTCAGCACTTCGGCAGACTCCAAATAACTCGAAAGTTATTCAATTTTGATTGTTTCTTCTATTATTCTAAAACTGACCATGATAATTAGATAACAATAGGCCTAGCCTGGGGAGCGAAATGTGCTAAGAAAACCACAAACCAAAACATTATCGTTAAGAAACCTTGCTATCTCTTACAATGGTATCGTGACACAATTGTTGTTACTGCATTTAAAATGAGAACGCGGTTTGAGATTACATGCTCCGTTTCTCAGAGAAATTATATCATTATGTTATGTAACGATGCTGTTGTTTCCACTCACCAGTCGCAGTTCCTGCTTGTTTTGTTTTCACAGCTGTAAACATGAGACGTACTTCCGCCCCGCTGCAAAACGAATGAAGTAATTTCCGCCCCGCTGTCTTTTTTCCGGTCTGTGCTATCTATATCGAGGCTGCGTTGAGGGTTGATAACGGGTCGCGCGATTTGTTAGCAACAACATCGAGTCTGATGGTGATTCAATGTTGTTGCTAAGTTTGTACTGTACAACTGCGGTCCCTCCCCGCGGTGGTGAAATTCATACTTTTAATAAAAACTTGTATCGAATACAGCCACGGATGTTTTCCTCATTTGTGTTGCTCAACTCAGCGCGAATGCGCTTGTGTCAATTGAATCTCACAGGTCAGTATGCATCCAGTTGAGCAACACACATAAGGAAAAAGTCGGTGGTTCTATTCCTTAAAAGTATGAATTTCAGCACACCGCAGGGGGACCACAGTTATACAGGACAAACAGGTAGAGGTATGCGTTTTCAGAATTGACATTTTACAAGTGTCGACTGATGGTGTGCTGGTGTTGTTGCTAGCAAATTGGGCGAATAGTTTTCATTACTCAACTCCGCCTCGATATAACGGAGTTGAGCGTTCCACAGCTAGTATTATCCGGGAACCTTGGAACGTCTCTATCCCATTGAAGTTGAAATTTTAAATGATAAGGGTTATGGTAAGTTTAGGGTAGGGATGTCCCAAGGATCCCACATCCCAGATAGGGTCTTTATCCCACCCATAAAAAAAAAGCAACCTCAGTTGAGCTCTCTGCACTATGCTTAAAGTGGCAGTGCAGTTAAAAACGTGATTTTTCACATTAAGAGGTCGAAATAACACTAAAATTATGATAATGCCCTTTTTGTGTAGGAGCTGTTTGAAAAACATGCATGGAATTTCAGCCTGTTCGGGTGGGATGGAACTTTTGGCCCACATCATGATGTCACAATGTGATCTGATTATAATAGACCAATGACTGTTCATCTGGGTAAGGGGGTGGGCTCTTGACCATGCTATCAGCCAATCAGGGCTGTATATGTAAATATCTTCAAATTTGTTTCCTAACATCCACACAATCAGACAGCATTTCAAGGGCCAAATGAGGCTCAGGGAAATAAATGATAACACATTTATTTTGGAGTTAGTTTTTTTAAATAAACACAAACAGTGATTTATTAGACATATAGTGATGATTTAAATATTTTATTACCAAGACTGCATGGGGGCTTTAAGCACATAGGCTACTAGTAGGCTACCAGAGTCTAGTTATGGACATCATACAACAAGGGAATATAATATCTGTATATATATATATATATATTTTTTTTTAAAGGGAACTTCCCAGAGGGCAATATAACAGTACATCATGTCATGTCAACAGTTTTCTTGACCAGGCAAGCAATAGATAGGCCTATAATATAGCTAGTATGAAAAAAAGTATTCCCAGTGGTTTGCAGAATACTTCCCTCAAAGTGATATTGTTCCTTGTGTGTGGAGAGAGACACATTCTAAATGTATTAGATCAGTTAATACTTTTTAAAACAATATAAATAAGTATTTTTAGACAATGTCTGAGAAGTGCCAATAATGGACTGGCTGAATGAAGCGAAAAGTCATTTACCATTCATTTCAACTCTCAAATGAAGCCAGGCTAAATAAAACAATTTTTTTATGTCTCTGAGAAAATTAGCACAAAAGCCATTTAATCTCTCTCATCTTACTCTTAATAACTGCACATTTCCCCTTGGGCCCATGGGAAAGGGCCTCTCTGTGCCGCTGCCACCTTATCGGTCCTCTCCATATTTCAGCATGCTGAGCGGATCCCTCAGTACCCAGCCCCCGGCCTCCTCTCGCCGGGCCTGTGGGAGAGCTGGGCTCCAGGGCCCGCCATTGTTCTGGCCTGGGAGGCAGTCCGGGGAGAGGCCTGAAAGTCGGAGAGGGGGAATAAAAAAAAAAAACTCTGCCACTGCTTCATTAAATGCCAGCCTTTCACAAGCAAACATATCAGAAACAGACCCCTTTCAGAGGTGGTAATTAGCAATTTGGAAACCTTGCCCCCTCAGGATATACAGTTTCAATTTAGTCGGCAGGACAGCTTTAGATTCTAAGGCACTTAATATTCATTGTTTCTCCCATCTTCCCAATTTCTCAACGTACATTGTCTAGCCTTTTGCTGGTGATAAAGTGTTTTATCTGTCATGTAATTCTTCTTTTCAATGAGCCTTCTGCAAGAGAAGTTAATTTTTCTAAATAATTTTCTAAGGGATTTGTCAAGAATGTGTGGGATATGATAAAAGTGCTTTTCAAGAAGCGCCAAGCCAGAAATCCAGTAGAGTTGTGCATGCTTGATTAAGTTGAGAAGTAAATAGTCTGTAAGAAAACTTGGGGCAACTCTGCCACAGAGGAGACTCTCCCCTCCACAGGAAAGGGCATATGGGTCATTGAATGTGAGGCCATCAAAAGCCTGAACAAACATGCAAGAAACTTGCATCACATGTTAAATATGACCCACACATTCGTGACAAATCCCTTTGAAAATTATTTATAAAAATTCTTTAACAAATTATTTAACAGTATAGCTGAAAGATTACCATTACTTTTTTGACCATTGTTTGGTACTGCTATAATACTTATTTTGCTGCCTGGATGAGAGGGAAAATGTTTGCAAAGTGTTTAATAACCCAAGCCACACCCTTTACCTCAGGGGGCAAGAATAACACTTATCTGGGCCTCTCTGGATCCTTTGTTTCTTAATGCTACCCATTCCATTCATTTGCAATCTGCTTTGTCTAATAAAAATAATTGATTTTTGCCTCTTTCACATAAATGAAAAAGGAATGTGATTAAGAATTTTGCCCCCCCCCCCAAAGAAAATCGAAATTCCAAGATCCTCATCAAAAATGGAAAAATACATAACTCATTAAAGCCAAAAGAAATGGCTTAAAATGTAAAAAGAGGGACAGGGAATGAAATAATGAATGGAGTCCGAGTGAGCTATCTTTCCCAGGCAGAGCGCCACTAGGGAAGCAAACTCCCAGCCAGCAGAAATGAGCTACCTATCTGTGAAAAGAGTGACTGCTCCATCCTATTTGACTTGGCTTCCCTATCATCTCTTAAGAAGATGTCAGCCTTGCTTCGTCTATTGCTCTGAGCCTTTATCAACCCATAGACGCTCCGCTGCAAAAAGGGGAGCCTCATTTCAATGCCTTTCAAGGAGCAACACTAAAGAATAAGTGTTATGCGATAAAAAGAGGGTTGTTAAATAGATCTGTCTATTTGTATGGTAATAATGATCGCTTAAGGACCTGGGGTTCCGTGACTTGTAGAACAAGGAAACAAATCTGTATTCAGGTGTTGTGTTAACATGACTCTCCAAACGACCTTGTGAAACTTTTACACAGTAACAAATGAGTTGCATGCTACGTTTTTTCCTTATTTTCTCTGCACTAGTCAGACTGAAACTAGCTTGGTATGGGAGCATCCTGTGGCCGCTCAACACAACTCACTGATTTGATATAAAATGGGGCCCTTGATACCAATGTTTCCCACTATCATATCATTGTTTGTTTTGGTCACATTCAGGGCTTGAAGGCCCCTGATTTCATTGACAAGGTCAGAACCATTTTCATCAAAGAAAAACATCCTGATGTTTCCCATTCCTTCAAAATAAAGGAAACATTGTTGACCATTATTGTTGATCAAGTTACTGCTAGCTACAACAACCACTGTAAGACAAGAAACACCAACATAAACAACATGACAAAAGCCAATACAGATCTCTCATTAGGTTTCAAAGGATGCTGTTTTTCTGGCCCCAGATGGCAATATTACTAACAATGTTATCTGAAAAGCTGGTCCACAGACCTCAGGAGCATTGTTTTTGTTGTCAAGGAAATCAAACAGTGGTGAGTGTGTTTGTTGTGTCTCTGCACCTGGAGACCTCCTTGTAGCACATTATTTCAGATGTGTTGTTTCCTACAGTTAGTGATGTCAGCTTGTCCCAATGAAGGCAGGGTTTGACATGTCAATTTGGCAGAGGGGCGGGCCAGGGTTGACCGCAGTCATTTGATCCTTCATCTCACATTTTGATATCTCAGTCTTGTGTCAGTACAAACAACAACAGCCCAGCCAATGACGTCTGCCAGAGAGTGGCTGATGAACATGATTGATTCTTCAGGCAGACCAGGGGATGAGTAGGGCTTCTCCACAGATACAACAATGACATGAACACTTTATGAAAAAGCTCCCCTCTATACTCAGAGCAGCTGGAGTGAGTCAGGGTGTAATCTTTGTTGCCAACCCCCTCAATAGAAAGTACCTAATAGAAACACCCAATAAAGAACATGTCCATTTATTCAAATATCAACACATCTTGTGACATTCTTCCCTGAAAAGCAATGGATTCTCTGTATATTCTGTGTGGCCCCTACATGTCTCCAAAGAGTGAATTGGTAATGGCAGGGTTGGGGGTAAAATAACTAATTTCTCCATTAGCAGCCCCTGGTTGAACTGTGAGTATTCACAGCAGGCAGTCATGTTGGCCAACCCAGCTCTGCACCCCATGCCTGGCTCCAGTATGGCCTTCCCCAGCCTGGTCACCCGCTTCCATTTATCTAGTGGGATAACTATAGAAATCTGTCAGGAGGCAGGGGGAGGTTTTTTCGCTCTGCTCCAGCCGAGTTGGCAGATTGAGAGCCTCCCGTAATGCACAAGTCTGTTTTTATTATTCTTGCTGGGGGAACACTATTTCATCAAGCGCATGATTCCACAGAAGAGAGGAGATAGCCCAGCCGGCTATATTTCTTCCAATCAAACATTCCAAGGGGAAAAAATGAGTGGGTGCCATCAAATCACAGAATAATGCTGCCAGATTTTATGTAAAAAAGAAGGACTGATGGACAAATACAGGAAGGCAAGACAAGTTAAATGATGTGTGTTCAGGAGCTGAGATTGGAAAACTGACAGATAAAAGCAGCCTCTTTGCTGGAATATAAATTGTTGTGCGCTGTAAAAAGGCTTTTATCTGCAGTGAATATGGGACGTAATACACAGGTCAGGGTTAAGTCA